AAAGGTGTTAGAAAGATCTTACAGGATTTGGGCTTGTATTTGGTGATTTTAAGGAGGGTTTGAGAAAACAAGGTTTTGCTCTGAATTGGATGCTATCAGGAGCTGGGAATAATTCTATGAATAAATATTATAAAACCTATCTAGAAGAAGAGAAGACTAGAGTGAGGTCTAAAGCTGTAGTAGTTAAAAAGCAGGGGTTGGCTGGGCACGGTGGCTCATGCCTGTAATCCTGGCACTTTGGGAGGCCAAGGTGGACATATCACCAGGTCAGGAGTTCAGGTGTTCCAGACCAACCTGGCCAATATGGTGAAACTCCATCTCTGTTACAAAAAATACAAAAACTAGCCGGGCGTAGTGGCAGGCACCTGTAGTCCCAGCTACTCGGGAGGTGAGGCAGGAGAATCACTTGAACCTGGGAGGCGGTGGTTGCAGTGAGCCGAGATCACACCACTGCACTCCAGCCTGGGCGACAGATTTTTTTAAAAATCTGTCTAAAGGAAAAAAAAAAGCAGGATTCACTCATTAGTTGGAAGAGGGGAATGTTTGGTATTTCATGGTTTAGGCAGGGTTCAGTGTTCATGTTTTGCCTGTGTTTAGTTACAATTGTAGAATGGTTTTGTTCCACTGTGGTCACAGAGTGGCCTTATTTGATGCTGATGTTCTGTAAGTGCCAGGTCTAGTACCAAGGTTTAGCTGATAGTAGTAGGCCAGCTCCTGGATATGAGAAGCTACTTTTCTCTTTCTTAGCTTTTTTTTATTTTTGAAATGGAATCTGACTCTCACCCAGGCTGGATTGCAATGGCTCGATCGAGGCTCACTGCAACCTCTGCCTCCTGGGTTCAAGTGATTCTCCTGCCTCAGTCTCCCAAGTAGCTGGAATTACAGGCACATGCCACCTTGCCTGGCTAATTTTTGTATTTTTAGTAGAGACAGAGTTTTGCCATGTTGGGCAGGCTGGTCTGGAATGAACTCTGGACCTCAAGTGATCCACCTGCCTCAGCCTCTCAAAGTGCTGGGATTACAGGTGTGAGCCACTGCGCCTGGCCTGTTTCTCTGCTTTGAGGGTCAAGTTTTACCCTTTTTGAATTGCAGGGCTTCTTATCCAAATTCACATTTAAGTTCTAACCATACAGGTATCACAGTTTGTTACTCCATTAACCAAATGATTTGGGTTGTTTTCTGCTATTGTTGTTTATTTTTTATTTAAATTTTTTTGAGATGGAGTCTTGCTCTGTTGCCCAGGCTAGAGTGCACTGGCACAATCGCAGCTCACTGCAACCTCTGCCTCCCAGGTTCAAGTGATTCTCCCTGCTTCAGCCTCCTGAGTAGCTGTGATTACAGGCATCCGCCACCACACCCAGCTAATTTTTGTATTTTTAGTGGAGATGGGGTTTCACCATTTTGGCCAGGCTGGTCTAACTCCTGACCTCAAGTGATCCACCCGCCTCAGCCTCCCAAAGTGCTGGGATTACAGCCATGAGTCACCATGCCTGACCTCCTGTTTTTAACTCTTACGCATAAAGATACTGTAAATTCATGTAGAGGTCTTAGAAGTTTTCATTCTCCTGCATAAATAAGTAGAGGAAGAGATTGTTGACTTATATGATAAATATATATTTAATGTCATAAGAAACTACCAAACTCTTTTTCCAACTGGGTACTATTTTATTCCCTACCAGCAAATACATGAAACGTCCATTACTCCCTCTCTTGTAATATTTTGGTCTTTTCTTTTCTTTTCTTTCTTTCTTCTGTCTCACTCTGTTGCCCAGGCTGGGGTGCAGTGGTATCATCTTGGCTCACTGCAACCCCTTCTACTCCTGGGTTCAAGTGATTCTCTTGCCTCAGCCTCCCAAGTAGTTGAGACTACGGGCGCATGCCACCATGCCCAGCTAACCGGCTAATTTTTCGTATGTTTAGTAGAGATGGGGTTTCACCGTGTTAGCCAGGATGGTCTCAATCTCCTGACCTCTTGATCCACCCTCCTTGGCCTCCTAAAGTGTGTGAATTACAGGCATGAGCCACCACACCTGGCCATATTTTGGTATTTTCGTGTTCTTTTGTTTTTTTGTTTTTCAAAATTAGGTGCATTGTCGTATCTTGTGGTTTTAATTTGTACTTCCCTAACAGCTAATGATGTTGAGCATCTTTTCTTACACTTATTTGCCATTTATGTCTCAAATTTTTGGCCAAATTTATATTTTACTCTTTGCCTACTATAGATAGACAGATAGATAGATAGATAGATAGATAGATAGATAGATAGAGATGAAGTCATTCTCTGTTGAGCAGGCTGGATGCAGTGGCACGATCTCTGCTCACTGCAACCTCTGCCTCCCAGGTTTGAGTGATTCTCCTGCCTCGGCCTCCTGAGTAGTTCAACTATAGCCATATGCCACCATGTCCGGCTAATTTTTGTATATTAAGTAAAGATGGAGTTTTACCATGTTTTGTGGGCTGCTCTTGAAGTCCTGACCGCAGGTGATTCACCCACCTCGGTCTCCCAAAGTTCTGAGATTATAATCATGAGCCACCATACCCAGCTGGGATAAGCAATCTTAAAAAGCACTTTGTTGATTTCTGGTGAATAGTGAAAGTGTGACAAACTATGACTCATCACTTTTATTTTTTAAGCATATGTCTTAAACTGGCAGGTATGCATTAGGGGACCGGTATAAGAAGGTTACAACATTGTTTGAAATACTGAAAAACTGGAAACAATCTCAGTATCTTTTAATAATCGAAAAAATGGTTGAGGTTGCGTGTGGCAGCTCATGCTTGTAATCCCAGCGCTTTGGGAGGCCAAGGCAGGAGGATCACCTGAGGTTGGGAGTTTGAGTCCAGCCTGGCCAACATGGCGAAACCCTGTCTCTCCTAAAAATACAAAAATTAGGCAGGTGTGGTGGCACACATCTGTAATCCCAGCTACTCTGGAGGCCAAGGCACAAGAATCGCTTGAGCCTGGGAAGTGCCCGATCTTCATAAACTTTTCTTTACATGTCATTATCAAGTACTTATTGAACACCTACTCTGAATCAGGCACAGTATGAAATACTGATAATTCTATAATAAGTAAGAAATTTCCCTGTTTAAGGGGGTGAATCCAGTTAGTCATTTATTTTCAGGATAAAGAAACAGAAGAATGTGGTAGGTAGTATGTACTCATAAGGAGAAAGCATTTCTTAGTCGCTTTGTGTGGTGTTTATAAGATGACTTCATCTGTTTTATCAAGAGTCATCATATTATATTGAATTTGAAATTTTAAGTCATAGTAAGGAATGGCATGGAAATTTTTGTTTGACATGAGGCCAGGTGTGGTGGCTCAAGCTTGTAATCCCAGCATTTTGGGAGGCCAAGGTAGGAGGATTACTTGAGTCTAGGAGTTCAAGACCAGCCTGGGCAACAGGTAAGACCCTATCTCTACAAAAAAAAAAAAAAATTAGCTAAATGTGGTGGCACATGCCTGTAGTCTTAGCTACTTGGGAGGCCGAGGGAAGAGGATCGATCACTTGAGCCCAGGAGTTGGAGGGTGCCGTGAGCTAGGATCGTGCCCCTGCACTCCAATGTGGGTGACAGCAAGACTCTGTTTAAAAAACACAAGGCTGGGCGAAGTGGTTCACACCTATAAGCCTGTAATCTGAGCACTTTGAGAGGCCAAGATGGATAGAATACCTGAGGTCAGGAGTTCAAGATCAGTCTGGCCAACATAGTGAATACCCTGTCTGTACTAAAAATGCAACAATTAGCTGGGTGTGATGGTGCACATCTGTAATCTCAGCTACTTTGGAGGCTGAGACACGAGAATTGCTTGAACCTGGGAGGCGGAGCAGTGAGCAGAGAGAGCACCACTGCACTCCAGCCTGGGTGACTGAGTGATATTCTGTCTCAAAAAAAGAAAAAAGACAGACTAAGAAATTAATTTGCATTCAGACAAATGGTCAAAAATGATAGAAATAAAACAAAAAATTAATTTTCAAATACAGTGTGATTTGAGTATAACGATTACAGAAGTTGTTCTATATACTTTTTGATTATGCTGAGTTTTTAGATTCATTTAAAGCTTAATTTGCATTAGGAATTAATGTTTTAAACTAGTTGTTTAGTTCAAAGAAAATAGAAATGTGTTACTAAGGGCCGGGCGCGGTGGCTCAAGCCTGTAATCCCAGCACTTTGGGAGGCCGAGGCGGGTGGATCCCGAGGTCAAGAGATCGAGACCATCCTGGTCAACACGGTGAAACCCCGTCTCTACTAAAAGTAAAAAAAATTAGCTGGGCATGGTGGCACGTGCCTGTAATCCCAGCTACTCAGGAG